CACAGAGATCCGCCTGCCTCTGCCTCCCGAGTGCTGGGATTAAAGGCGTGCGCCACCAACGCCCGGCGCAAGCTTATATTCTTAAAGGAACTCTATTTTACAAACTTATATAGGGCCTACCATTAGCCTATATCTAATTTAGCAAACACTCAAAGATTTCTTAACACAGAGATCTAACAAGAGAATAATTTCTACAAACTCACATATCTTATTTTCATCTTTTTCTACTTCTTACTCGTAATTATCATCACTATCTCTATTAGACTCTTAACTAGACAAGAAGTTAGAAAATTGAAGTGTTTTTCTTTTCTGTCTAGTTGCCTTACTTTTTTTCTACATGATCTTACACTTCTAAGTTTTTCCTACACTATATTACTACCCTATACCTTATACTTATTTTTCACAGATAGAAATTGAGAAAAGGGATAGAAGATAAAAAATTTTGACAGAAGAGAATTTTGCGCTGCAGCATCGGACATCCTTCCAGTCTGCTTTCCTTTTCTCTTGAGGATAAAACCCCTGCCCCTCAATTTTATATATATATTATATATATTTTCCATAACACTGGCATGCCTTTCCACTGGCAGGCCTGACCCACACTTTCACCAAAAACTCTGTAATAAAACTATTATTTTCCTTTATCTTTAGTCCCTATTACTTTGTCTTTAGTCCCTGTTCATTTATCTTTAGTCCCCCCTTTTTAGTCCCTCCTTTTTTTCTTTAGTCCCCCCTTTTTTTTCTTTTTTCTTTAGTCCCTGTTCATGCGCCATTCTGTGGGGCATTTACCCACCAACCCCACAGGTCCCCAGAGTTTTCTTGAGTGTGAGCAACAGGAAATATTAGATAGAAGGATTTATTGTGGAGAATCTTGCAGAGATAAACAGAAAATAAAGGATAGCCTCAAGAGGCCTGCAACCTTTTCCAAGGGCCCGACTGTCTCTGCCCCAGGTTATTTATAGAGACGCCAAGGGATGGAGCAAAAGACCTCCTCCCCCAGCACAGCCAAGTGCAGACCATCTCAGACACCTGCACTCAGGCCTGTGGACCTAATCATCCTCTATGCAGACCTGCTGGGTAAAGCCACAAGGAACTCGAAAAGGGCTCCCACACCTTTTTTTTCTTCTCCTTTTTTTTTTTCTTCCAAGACAGGGTTTCTCTGTGTAGCTTTGGAGCCTGTCCTGGATCTCGATCTGTAGACTAGGCTGGCCTCGAACTCACAGAGATCTGCCTGACGCTGCCTCCCAAGTGCTGGGATTAAAGGTGTGCACCACTGCCACCCGGCCATCCCTTCATTCTTTATTTATTCTCTCTGCCTGCAAGCCCTGCCTATCCCTATCCTGGCTAGCTGTTGGCCATTCAGCTCTTTATTAAACCATCAGGTGTTTTGGGAATGCAAAGTAACAGTTTTATAGAATTAAACAAATACAATGTAAAAGAATGCAACACATCTTTGCATCATTAAACAAATATTCCACAGTATAAACAAATGTAACACATCTTAAACTAATATTCCACAACAGGATGGTTTACTTTTTATTCAAAATAATGTTTTGGACTCCAATGAAGAAAAGAATCTGTGTTCTTCCACAAAGGGGCACTGTTGTCATGCACAAGACTCAGCACTTAGCCACATGGGAGATGGCAGGGAAGCACTTTGTGGACTGGGTGGCCAAGGACAAAGGTTCATCATTATTTTCCTCTTCAGCAGTCAGTAAAATAAACATGTTCCTGTTGTGTTGGATGATCTGTCCTAGGATTTTTTCCTTCAAACATCTTAATTTATAACACACACACACACACACACACACACACACACACACAAACTATAGATGGCAGTTTCCCAGCCAGAGTTTGCATATCTTGCAGGAAGATTCCCCAGAGTCTACAGTCCCATTTCATCAGTAAGAGCGTTACACAGCTCACTTGGGCCAAGGGAACTGACCACCCTTTGCTGCCGGAATACAGGAACTGGTTGTTTGCTGAGCTTGCCTCTGATGCTCTACTCCATCCTGGCCATCTCTCCCACAACCCTGAACCCCATCGCACTCACCCTCTCTGCATCTAAGCTGCTTCTGACTTCCTTCCTCTCAGTGTCTGCATGACACCAAGGTGGAAGGAGATACAGAGATGAGTATGGCAGGCAGGTGCTGTGGTCCTGGGGAGGGATAGTGATCAGAATAACGGGTTCAGCTTGGGTTGTGCCAGAACTTTCCAATGAGTATTTAAGAGTCTTCAAACCAGCAAGGAAGATAAGGAATGTTGCCAAGCTGTTAATGTGCTAGCATAGGCCTGTAATTTCAGAACTAGGAGACTGAGTCATGAAGTTCTTAAATTTTGAGGCAGCCTCAACTACATAGTGAGACCATATATCCAACAAACAAGACAAAGCAAAACCAAAATGTCAGTGCAATGCCTGGAGGCTTCCTTGTTTTCCCAGGATTTGGGAACAATGACTGGTGTTAGAATCAGCCTATCCAGTGTAGGTATGTGGGAAACCTAGGACACCTGGGGAGGAAGGGGTATGAGCTCTGAGGTTGTGCACAGGGCACAGTTCTGGTGAAAAGTTACCATTGCTTATCTGAAGTTGACTTTTAACTAGGTGTACTAGCCAAAGTGGCCCCCTAGTCATGGTGGAGGGCCTTGCCACCTCAACCATGATCTTGGGGTGGTGGCTTTGGTAGTCAGCATTTCCCATTGACTCTCACCCTCCAGGCTGTACTCCCAGGAAGTGTGGCAGAGGTGTCACTGACATGGTGATTACCAGGGAGGAGGCGGAGCAGATTCGCAGGTACTCATGCATCTCTGTACTTTGCTTAGGGCATCCATGGGTATAGCAGTGAATGGGGAGTGAGCCAGGGCAGCAACAGAGTAGAGAGAACTCTTATAGTTCCGTGGATCATGACCAAGGCTTTTGGGGGTGAGAGGGCAGGCTCCCTGTTTCCTGCTTCATTTGAGGAAATGCTGTGATCTTAGCAATGTTTTTGCTGATTGAGTAGTCTAGAGCCCAGCCTCCCCTCCAGGAAGCTTACTATGCTATGGAAACAAGGCCTCCAGCCTCAGCTGACAATCACTAGATAATATTTCACTTCTCTGTGGTTCATGAATGCTAGCTCAGAAGCAGCTGGTGCTGGAGTTTTCTTTGTGAGGATTTTAAAAACAAGATCTTAAAAAGAAGGATTTAGTTTTCTGACTAGCTGTTTGGACTCAACATGTGGCCCTTCATTTGGCCCTTGAGTCCCATTCTCCTCCATCCTCATGCTGGCCCTGCTACAATGCCCAGCAGGGAGTCTGTTCTCTGTCTCCTTCTCCCCACCCTCATCCTATATCTCTGCCATACCTGAGTATTATTAATGCTTTACTGAGGGGTGAGTGTTCCCATCAAAGTTCTTCAGTAAGGTAGTCCTCTTACTGGCATGGTTCTTATACAGTCTGAGCTGTGATTACCAAAATCTCCATCAACCTGGAACCTGTCAGGTCACAGACAAACGAAGAGGTACCTTTGCTATGGTCAGAAATTAGGCCAGTGGTTTCCAAGCAGGCCATGTGTCAGTAGCAAGAGGATGATGTATCCTCATCTTTGAAAGCTACAGTTTTGAGTTTCCATCATAAATGTTAAACTGGCAGAACCTATAAACAAGGCGCTATTACACTGATTGATGTTTTGCCTATATACTTTATGGATAATGCTGTCAACCAAATTCTGACTTAAAGGTATTTTCTCACCCACAGAATAGCAGAGAAGGGACTCTCTCTAGGCGGATCAGATGGAGGGGTGAGTTGACATGGTTCCTGTTCCCATTTTCTTGATACATTTTAAGTTTGCTCTCCTTGGAAGGGAAGGAGAAAGTGTTGGACACACAGGGTCCCCTCTGTTCCCCACCACAGGCAAGGGCTGGTATGTCCATGGTGTTTCTCAGACAGTGGCTGGTGTTCCTTCCGCCTACTGAGCATAAAATAAATCCCTCTTGGGGAGAGTGTGTGTTAAGTCACACATGGCCACCTCTTCAGGCTGTCATAGGCTGCCTGTCTTCAGGTCACACTGGCACTTTAGACACTCTGGAGAGGGACAGGGAGGGCTGGGGAGGGGTGGGAGAAAGGGAGAGGGAACTGACAAAGGAGTCAGAAGCCTGGTAGCCAGGTGGTTGCTGGGAAAGGCAAAGCCCCTTAAGATGCTTAGATGGATCTCACTGCAAGAGTCCAGCAGAGGCCTGTCATCCTTTGCACAGGGTAGATCATACAAGGAATAGGATGGTGTGTCCACATGAAACCTATGATATAATTTGGAAATGGGATTTTTGTAGTTGTAATTAAGGGAAAGTCCTTATCAGGTTCCCCAAGTCCAAGCACAGGTGTCTGTCTAAGAGAGAGCCAAAGGAAAACTTAAAGAGAGGAGAAAGCCTATGTGTGGATGGATGGAGGTAGAAAGTGGGGTGATGTGGCTACAAACCAAAGAAAGCCAGTGGCCACAGATGCTGGAGGACAAGGAAGGACCATGCCCAAGAGCTTAGGCCACAAACCAGGGAGTGCCCCCAAGCCACCTTGATTCTAGACTTCTGGCCTCAGAGGTAGGAGAATGAACTTGTACAGCTGGAAGTCCTCATTCTGTGTTAGTGCAGCCACAGGAATAAACTGGGCTAGCCACACCTCTGCAAATGGACAGGTGGACAGTGGTCACTGGGACCTTGGTATTGGTGTGGGTTCTCACTTGATTTCTACTTAGTGTGAGGAAATATCTGAGCATGGGTTTCTCTCTGTGTGTATTTTGGCAATTGCTTTGCATTGTAGTCTGTGGTCAGCGCAAATCAAGTCTGCAGAGCTAATGTCTTTGGGAAAGTTGACTTTTAGACTTCGCTCTAATTTCAAAGTATTTCTGTAATTGCCCTACTTCACCCATGACTCTCTCTTTAGAGTTCTGAAAATGGAATTCCTTTTATGTTGTTCAGTTTCGCTCAGGGAGATATTTGCTAAAAGGTCAGTGAGTGACCTTTCTCTTACTCCTTCAGCATTTCCTTGAAGGTCACCATAAATAGGCTTAATACCTTTAAGTTCAGTAAACATTGAGTAAGCCCATGTTGTGTTCACACCTTAGCTAAGTAACTGTGAGAATAAGGAAAGGGGCCTGGTGTCTGTTACTACTGGCTATGCATGGGGTAAAATGGTCCATGTTGGTGACTACTTTCCTCCTGGGATGCAGGGAAAGACTCAGAGGTGGGAGGTGAGGATCAGAAAACATTTCTTAAATGTTACTGATGTGTAGTTCCATATAAACAGTTTAACTGGGAGCCCCAAGAACATGCCCACATGCATTTGTGGCCAGCATACACAGAAAAACCCAAAGCTATCACAGGGATAGGCCAGCAGGTTTGGCACATCCATGCAGTGGGATAGCCTAAGTGCTTAGCTGGGATAAACAACATGAGTTATGCTAAAGGAAAGAGCATATCACAGGATCTATCTGCCATTCCTCCACCTCAACAGGACACAACTAGCTTCCTAAGAAAGTAGATCTTCAGGTAGGTGTCCAGGATGGGCTGGCAGAGAGCAGAGAGGGATCACAAAAGGGTGTAGCTGGTGTACATGTGGAAGTGTACACTTATGCAGAAACTAGTCACATTGCACACTTCACACAGACAGAATCGTGTGGTAATTTTTACCTTGACAGACCTAGTGGAGGGAAGGAAAGCGGGAGTCAATAGGGTGGACTGTGACTCACCATAATTCCCAGATGTGTCTAGGGACTGTTTCTGAAAGTGTTAGGGCAAAAAGTTTGGTTTCCTTTTTTGGACAGCAGAAAGAGACACTTCTGTCCAGGCAGACAGTGCACAAAGCAGGGCTTTAAGATGCCAGAAGTAGAGTGTTTATACAATGGATTGTGGTAACTGGGGTTCAACTTGTCTGTTAAAGCAACCATCACTTGTTTTACACACATATGTCTTTTTCAGGCATCTATACTGGACTTGCACTCTGGGGCCCTGTCTGTTGGGAAGCATTTTGTGAACCTGTACAGGTGAGAGGCTGGAGGAAGTGGAAGAGGCAGGATGCAGGTGGGCGCCCGGCAGCTGCATGGATGTTCTTCAAGGGCTAGAGAGAGGTCTAAGAGAGTTCTCATCCTCATTGTCATTCTGTCAACTGTTGGTGTCCCTTCCTCCCTCAATCTTCCTTTCTTCTTGTCCATCCTTCTCACTTTCTGTCCTTTTTCTTCTCTGTAACATAGTTATTATTGTAGAAATGGAATAACTCTCATGATATGACAGCTCTGCTTTTAGAGACTTGCTGGTTAGCTTGAGGAAAGACTGATTAAAGGAAACAAGGAAGCTGGGTGTGGTGGTTTATACCTGTCATCTGAAGCAGGAGGATTATCCCAAGTTGAAGATCAGCCTGAGCTACAGAGTGAGACCCTGTTTTTTGTTTTTTTTTTTTAAGGCAAGGAAAAGATTAGTAACATGCTATATCTGCTAATGTTATTCATTATTTCACAGATACTTTGGGGATAAAGTACAAAATATCTTCTCTGAGGAGGACTTCCAGTTATATAGGTAAGGAAGATAAAGATTGGCTCTCTGATGTCCTGTCATATCAGGCCAGGGTAATGGCTCCTGTATGAGGGATTGAGACCTATGAATGTAGACGAAGCTCAGCTTGTCTCTGGGTAGACAGGCAGCTCCCCTAATATTGTCTAAGCCCTCTTGGTCCCGTAGTAAACATATCCTGCTACTGGTCACATCCTAGCACCTCTCACATGATTCTTGCTCAGTCCTCTCCCAGAGTCATCTTGCCTATCTGGGGAATTTTTTTTTTTTAATTAAAGCTTCTATTTAAAGGTTATTAAGATGTGTATTACAGGGAGCTGGAGAGATGGCTTAGCCATTAAGAGAACTGGTTGCTCTTCTAGAGAACTCTGTAGATGGACTTTTCTTTCCTTCCTTCCAGTTTCCAAATAACTGACACGGAGACTTAATATTAATTATAACACTTGGCCAGTAGCTCAGGCTTATTACTAACTAGCTCTTACAACTTAAATTAACCCATTTCTATTAATCTACATATTGCTACGTGGCACGTGGCTTTACCTGTCCTCCGGCATGTCTTGCTCCCTCTATGTCTCCTCTGACTCCACCCTTGTTCTTCCCAGAATTCTCCTAGTCCGGCTCTCCTGCCCAATCTCTCCTGCCCCAGCTGTAGGCCAGTTAACTCTTTATTAACCAATGAAAGTAATACATATTTACATATTTACAGTGTACAAAGATT